TGATGTTCAATTTGATGTCCACCACGATCACCACTTTTCTGCAAAGCTTTTGCCACTGGATTTGAAAAGAGTTTGATCTCTTCGCATTGGCACTAAGTATTTTTGAAGAGTTTCATATGTCTTCTTTGGGGTGAACCATCAAATGTTTTAAAATTTTTTTTGTAGGTCATATTTTTTAGACCTTTCATTGCCTTCATTGCTTTTCACCAGACTCTCCAGTCAATCCACCTCTTTGTTATACTTAAAAAGGAACAGATTTGCCCTTCTGGGGTCTGAAAATCGGTGGTCACAGCATAAGGATTACTTCTTGTGTTTTGCAAGCTGAATTTTAGTTTACATAGTCCTATATAGTGTTTTCTCTCTTAATGACAGCATGACATGTTAGCTTACATTCTTTTGTTCCGCTCTGCAGTCTGGGCCATCCTCTTAGGGACAGCCTCCCTGTACTTTTTGCATTTGATTATTTCTGTCTAAACATATTTATTGCCCTTGTTTTGAATTCCAGCTTTAGCCCATTTTTCCAATTTAAGAGATTTTTTAAAATTCCAGTGTTGTCTGTCATACTTTCAGCCCTTCTAGATGTGTCATGGAAACAGCAAGAAAGACATTACATTTCTTTCTGCAAGTGTACTGTTGCCTTATCCAGTGTTCACAAAGTCCCCCAAGCCTCTGACTGCTCAAATATTATGAAATACCTTGCTGTAAATGCTCCTGAGACACTGCCATGTATCCTATAGGACATTCAGAGAAGTCCATTTATTTTAAAACTTAGGTTAGCACCTAGACCTCCTTCTGCAAGTCCCCCTATACTGCTTGTACCTTGAAGTGATGATGGTGATGGTGTTCAGGTTCAAGCTGATTTTGCCCCACTTTTTCCGTCCTCTAAATAACTATGAGCCAGGTAAGGAAGCAGCTTTGTTTTCTCTTACTGAGTTTGTTTATTGTATGAAATAAAACATGCATGTGCAACTGTGTACGAAAGTGTGGCCTAACACTGTAAGTTTCTAACCTAATCCATATAAATAAAAACTTAAAAAAAGACTGTAGTCACAGTTTGGGAGGGTTTATGCACTGATCAAAATCAAAGGGGCAGCTCTGCTGAAATTTGTGGATTGTAGAGGCTGCAGAAGAGGTCTAGCCAATTAGAAAGAAAATCCTTTTTAACCCCCCCAATTATTTCTCAAGGATACCATCCTGTATTTCCTTAATCTTTTTGAGGAGACATGTACACCTTCTCTCGGTCACTATTCCAAAACACACATCTTTGTCTGGAGTAGTTATCCTCCCTCAGTGGAAACAATAAAGCTTTTCTCTGTGCTTTTCCTTAAAGATTAGGCGGTGAATTTGGCATTTGATTCATAAGCTTTTTGGTCCTAGGGTGGCTTGCATCCAGAGTATGCAGAGGGTGTGCAGAGGGTTGGATATCTGTACCTTATGAAGTAGCTGGTGGTGCACTGCTCTGTAGGACACACTCCATGTTCTCAAAAAGCAGCTTTAGAATACGTTAATATTTCTCAGCTGGCTCTTTGGGGAGAGAGGCTGAAAGAGTTCCTTAGAATCAAGAACCGTTTGCTCCCTTTCTTTGCAGTAAATTTCGCAGTGGAAGTAAAATTCAGCGATAGGTTTTTTGTTTTTCATCCCGGAGCTACTAGGCTGCACTGTCTTTTCACAGCAACAGAAGACTGTAAAATATGATATATGATTGCTCTTTTCAAAATGTTCTCTTATACCACTGTAAATCAGGAGAATGTCTTCTGAAAGTAGTAGAATTATTCTTATTTTATTCAGTGAGAATATAATTAAAGAGACAGGAAGGCAATGAAATGTAACAGTAATGAAATACAACTGATGACAGAAATGTTTCAGTCTTTCCCTGCTTACAAAAAAGATGGATGATGCCATCCTGATTGCCTGTAGGCTAATGGTCCAGGTGTAAAGCTGTCCAGCTTTGGGGAGGTGCCCAGATGTGTGACTTACTATGGCAAACTTCAGGCAAACCTGATATCCTATAACATCAGCTATATTTTAAGATACAAATAAGAATATAAGAAGCAAGAGAAATCAAAGAAAAGAGATGGGGGTCATGCTGGATCACAGCTGCAAACTAAAGTCTGCTAGAAAGTGTCTGAATCATGTCTGAAACTTCTTTGGAAAGGGAAAGAGCTTTGCAAAAACTAAGAAGAATGATGCAGTCTTAACTCTTCTCTATTGCTGTTCTTTACAAGACCTGAGTGTTTCTCCCCAGGAAAGGTGGGGCAGTTTTTTGTCTGCTGTCCTGTTCCCTATTTGGCACCTTGAAGAGACTGGCTGGCCATTTTCTAAAATATCCATCAGTCATTAAGAGAGAGCAGGATGACAGAATCACTAATATAACATGAAAGAAGTGATAGGAAACATCAACAATTCCTGTTGAGCAGAACAAGTGATAATAATATTCAGGGGATAAATCTGAAATATCACTGAACCTTTGACAGTTTTAGGAAGCTAATCAGTTGTGTGGGGGGAATATCTTTGCAAAAGTTTCTAAAAATGCTCTGGAAACACTCAACCTTGCTGAAGCAGGGGGTCAGCTCACTTGGTTATTATTAGTTAGGCATTTTACAGCATTGTCTGTCTTTTATTGCTTTTCACACTTAAGTCTCAAAGTGTGTTACAGGGTGGTCAGTAGCATTGTTCCTGCTGCGCTGAAAGGCGAATAAGAAGTCAGGGTTGATAATTTGCCTGGGGTTACCCAGAAACAGAGCAGAGGACTCAGCGTGCCTGTTTAGTGCATTATTTACTCAGGTTTCCTGAGAAAGTCCACCCAGGGAAGGTTGGCACAATATATTAACACAGAAAGAGATCACATCAAAGAGTTTTAACACCTCAAATTGACAGAGGTGAAGTGGGAACACAGGGGGATGCATAAATTTTCTTCTAGTCTCACAGCAGATTAACAAGAGAAGCACAACTCCAAGCCAGGTGCCTTGCCTTGCTGATAAGCGGCTCAACCCCAGGCTGGGCTGGCTCAGCCAGGGTCTGTGGTCACACTCTCTCCTCCTGAGCTTTCACACCCTGTTTTCACCTGGAGATGGAAGAGGCAAGTGATAATATGAGATACTTTTATTTTGCACAAGAGTGAAATTCTACAAACAGAAAACTCTCCGGCACAGGGGAACAAAATAGGAAGAGAATTCAGAAATGCTGTACCATGTATTTAATATTTGGCAACTTGTACTTCAGACTTAAAACAATTTTGCATGTGCCCTTTTGATGAGGCTGCATACATGAAGAAAGCATCCTATTTCCTAGGGAGCCATGTTTCAAAAGCAGAAAAAGAACACTTATCCATGGAGCACTAAATCAGCTTATGTAGGTAGCTGACTAGCTTTCTCACAGAGATGATTGTCCCAGAGTGAAGCTGAGGGAGGGAACCAAGGCTTAGAAATGTAATTATTAAAAGGTGTGCAGGAACATAAATTAGAAAATTTGACAGTTTTAATGACTTGCATTTATTTTCACTTGCTGACTTCTCTGGCTGACATCAGAAGCTGCATGTTAGGCTGCTAGCAGAGAAGGCAGAGGGCAATAGGGACAGGATAGACTCAATTCCCATGTTTCCACAGTCTGCAATGGCAGCATATTACCTGATGTAAAAAAAAAAACTAATAGAAAGAGGAGCTTCCTACAATCTCCCCTAGACATGGAACTACCATGTAAGATTACCTGTTACCTCAGCAGGAACTTCCAGGCCAATGGAATCTTAAATCACATCGTTATTACACACACCTGGATTCCCTGATGGAGGTTTTTCTATTTTGCTTGGTAGGATTATGGATGAAGGGAGGGTTAAATGATAAGTGAATCATGTGACAGCAAGCAAATGCCTACATGATGAAGGAAATGGTGACTGGAGGAGGCCTTTTCATTTCAAGAGATTGTGTGCAATAGAAAACAGAGATATAAGGCATTATGGTGCCTAACACTGCTTAGATGCACCAGGTTTGTGTGTTTTGCCTGTATTGACTATGGGATCCTCAAGGTCTGTGGACATTTTAGATCACATGGCACACTATTGCCCTGGTGTTTGTGCAGTCCTGGAATGGAAACATTAATGGGGTTGTTTTTCATAACAGAGGCTATGGCATGTATTTACAAAGAGATACAGTTTGTCTGATTTCATTTAGTTTTCAATGTCCATTTCAGTCTGGTAGTTTTCTGCTCAACTGCCATCATGGAGCAAGAGGTAACAATCCATGACCTCAGTGATACTAAGCCTTGGACAGCACTCAAAACATCTAGCCATTTAACAGGCAAATGCAAAAGCTATAAACCAGTGTGATGAACCACCTGATGCTCCTTCCCAATGTACCTTCTGCTATTCCACGAACACAAATTGGATGAATCTCTATTACCAAGAAATTCTGCTGCATGTATGAGAAGGAAAACAGTAAACAGGAGGACTAGTACAATATTTCCATGCCATTTGTTATTTTATAGAGCTGTTTTTCACATTTATTTTTATTTGCTTCTTCTATAAAATGGCCACAAATGACTTGTATTAGATATTTTACTGAAAAAGAACAGAAAGCACTTCATTTCTCTAACCTGCTTTCTGACAGTTGCAATTTCTTTTTACTTTTTTTGCTTATTTATAATTTATAGCTAAGTAACAGAGAAAGAACAACTCTGAAATTTGCTTGTAATGCCAGGTACATTCCAGGAGCATTATTTAGATGGCACTCTGAGTATACATATTATCGCTTTCTTATTTAATTGGGTACAAATAAAATCCAACATCTGATTTGGGAATACTTTTGTGTCAGCTTAGGTTATTTTCTGACTCAATTTGTTGAGCAGACTGTGAGTCTCATTACTTGAGTAGGTGACTGCAAGAGGCTTCTGTATAAAAGGCTACAGTTAATTGTTTTAGCTGAAAAGACAGAAAGTAGAATGAGGATCCACATCTATTAGCTGATTTTTCCCCTTGTCTAAACAATTATTTTTTTTTTATTTTACAGGTGATGGAAATTAAAGGACAAATGATTCATGTGCCAGAATCAAACTCGATATTATTTCTGGGTTCCCCCTGTGTGGACAAGCTGGATGAGCTGATGGGCCAAGGCCTCCATCTTTCGGACATACCTATCCATGATGCTACTCGTGATGTCATATTGGTTGGGGAGCAAGCAAAGGCGCAGGATGGCTTGAAAAAACGAATGGATAAGCTGAAGGCAACGCTAGAATGTACACACCAAGCCCTGGAAGAGGAGAAAAAGAAGACAGTAGATCTCCTTATTTCTATTTTCCCTGAAGAGGTGGCTCAGCAGCTGTGGCAGGGGCAGCAGGTTCAGGCCAGGAAGTTTGATGATGTCACCATGCTCTTCTCGGACATCGTTGGCTTCACTGCCATCTGTGCTCAGTGCACGCCCATGCAGGTCATCAGCATGCTCAACGAGCTCTACACGCGCTTCGACCACCAGTGTGGATTCCTTGACATCTACAAGGTAACAGCTCAAGTCCTAACCTAGCAAAAGTTAACTGAAACGAAGGCAGAAAAAATCCCAGTAGCTTTCTTCCTAAATTGCAGACATTCCTTAGAAAAATATGTAGGTAATATTTTTGTTTTACATGCAAAAAACCCTAGATCTGAAATATGATAGTTGAAACTGAAATGCTTCAATATGAAACTGTCATCATGGTACTCCAATGGGAATATAGGCCTCATATCCCCATTTTCCTATAGAAATATCTTTTTGCAGAGCATCTCCTGTATTATAGCCTGGTTTCCTTTAGATGACACGTCAGCCACAGCATCCTAACGATGAAGAAGTGCACAGTGATGAATCCTAACCCAAGCTGCAGCTCCTGAGAGGCACTCACTTTCAACTTGAATGGTTTAGGGTTTAGGCATTTATCTTTCCCTTGAAAAAACTAAAATTTTCCATAAGGAGCAAGCATTCACTAAAGAAAGTTATTATAAGAAACTTCACTGAAACACAGGAAGAGGACAGCAGATGTCTGTGCATAGTAAATGTAATGTTAGGGACATGGTGCTGGTGTGCCATGCTCCAAAGGAAATATCACACATGTTGGTCCCATTAGAGAACTCATCTTCACTTCTCTTAAATGGATTTGGTGTCTAGTATGTATTTGAAAGAAAAAACAGGGGAGGTAGAATTTAATAAATGCTCTGAAGATATTAGCAGTGTAATTATCCTCTGCAACCTACAGACTGCTTTGTATATGGAATGCCTTTAATTTTGTCATAGAAGAAATAGACCAAGTTTCTTTTTATATGTTAATGCACAAGAGAACAGAGATGTGGTTGTAAAATTATATATTGACTTTATTATGTGCCTGAGGTTTGCAAACTAACAGTTTTCAAACTATTTCATATAGTATTTGTTGATAGGCTGTAGAGAAAAAGGTCTTACAAATGTCCTGCTCCTTTCATTTCTAGCCTTTATTGCACTTTAAAAGGAATTGAAAAATAATCACTACCCACCTAAATAATAATAATGGCTGAAAAGTTACAGCATGTACCACAGATAGAACTGAAAATGGTGTAGCTAAAGGTTGGTAGGGCAGTTTACCAAAGTAAACAAGCACACTGTAACGAAGTTTTAGGCTCCTGGTTTAGGGGTTTATTTCACTAATGATCAGAAGGCAAAGGCCATTCTGGGACATGAATGCAGTGAAGATACCAGCCCTCATGTGAAAATTGTTATGGTGATGCTGTTGGAAAAGATGGTGAGTGTGATCTCAGTTTGTGTTAGTCTAATGTTGCTGCACTGGATTATGACCCAGCTTCAAGAACAGGACTTGAGGAACTTCTAACCCAGAGTCAGGAGGGATACCTAGTGACCCTGCTTCGCATGCTGTGTGTTCACATGGGTGTACTCACCGTGCTCCCAGGTGATTCATTTCAGCTGTTCTGAAGCATTCAGAATATCCTTTGTTGAAAATTATGGTTGCATGGGAATAGGATATAAAGTCTGCTTTTTATAGATATTGATACAGAGTATACTCTATGATCAGACTGTAAAGAAGGTTGGTTGAGTCCTGTGAGAACACTAAGAAGGAATATTTATGCATAGGTCATGAATATTATATCATTTGGACCATGGCTTTCTGCCTTTCACCTAGCCTTGGGCTACTGTGGCTAGTGACCAATGAAATAAGGTCATAGCTGTTGAGGTAGGCAAGATGAGATTTATGCATTTATAAAAAGAAATAAGCACTTCCGTGTCGAGACTCCCATGTAATTCTGTGAGCCAAGGTATGAATAAAAACCTGATTTTCTGTGGAAGAATAAATTACAGCTCAACACACTCTCTCTGCTGTTGCTGCCCTAATATAGGCAGTTCCCTCTCAGATCCTTTCATCCTGGATTTTCCTTGTCCTCTATCTCCCCCCATCCCTCCACCCACCCTACGTACTTGTCCCTTGATTCCCACCACCACTCATGAGCAAGGCAGCGTGCATTTTGGCTGTTTTGGAGCTGTATGTACCCTTTTTCCCCCATCCAAATGTTTTTAAATAATTTTATTTTTTTTGACCAGAAGTCTAAAAAAATTTCTGAGGGGTTAAGTGAAACTGGCTCAGTTTAGCACTACAGAAAGAAAAAACTCAGGCAATTAACTCTTTTTTGTTTCACTAGAGAATCAGACTTAAAATAAAATAGCAATTCTTTTGAAAGAAAACATTTGCATTTTAAAATGAAAATAGCTTGTGTGTTTATATCTTTTTCATTTGTTTCAGGTGATATTCTGGAAGCAAATTTTATTGCTAGGAATGATCACCACCACCACAATTATGATTTTAGAAGTTATTGTCAGGTAGTGAATTTTAGATACTTAATCAACACTATTTGTATCCAGCTTGCCTCAAAGATATACTTGTGTAACTAGGCTACAGAAATTTATCATATGACCTAAATACATCAATTTTTAAATTTGCTTGTTTTTAAGCAGCATGGCAAGGATAATTTGCAAAGGTTATTTGGTGGGCGCATCTGAATACCAAATTCACCGTTTTGTAAACAGAAAGTTAAGTAAAATACGATAAATAAATTCCATGTTGTGAATTATTTACCCAGGTTTACTGTTACAGCATTTGTATGCAGAAACTCACTGCTTCTAATCTGGCAGTGAATGTAATATTTTCATTTGTCTCCCGCTATTCATCCAGGGATGTTTATGGAGAAATACGTCACAGAAAGAACAAAGATCCTCACATTTAACTAGTCAGACATAGAGGACAAGCATAATGAACTCTTGGATACAGACTGAAAATGCTTGGAGAGAGCTGAAGGGTGATGAGTTAGACTTTGAAATTTCTTGGAAATCAAAGTAAGTAGCTATAACTGATGAGGTAGGGAAGACTTATCCAATGGATGGAGGCATAGGTAAGAATGACACAGACAGATGATGGGCCCAGAAAATGAATTTCAGAGCAGTATTTTGAATGGATAGCAACGATGAGAGATCACATTTGTCCAGGCTGGGGGAGAACAATGCTGTAATTGAGATGCATGATGTTATGAGTCTGGGTGACAGTTTTAGTAATCTAGAAGAATCTCTGTTTTAGAGAGTGAAACCTGGGAAATAATCTGCTGACATGCAGCCTTGGTGAAAAGATTAGGAGGGACACATTCATGATAATCACAGAAGAACAAGGAGGTGAAGGAGCTGAGACCTGGTGATGCATTTGGAAACCGGTGCTGTTGGCTATCAGCACTAATTATATTTGGCTTGGAGTTGAGCAGTGGGAGAAAAAGTCAAGCAGGGAGTGCAGTTCAGGTCACTGTAGCCGTAGCTGCTTGGCAAGCTGGTGTTTGAGGATATGCAAGTAGAAGCATGGACTCCAGGAGCAGAAGTCATGGGAGAGATATCTCAGTAAATTTTGAAAACTCTGGCTTTGGGTAAAATACATACTTGTTGACCTGACTGTTCTGACCTCTTTTTCTCTGCATCTGAGTTCCTGTTTATCAGCCAAGTACTGGGAAACAATGCTTCAGTTAAGCTATCTCTTTATCAAATAAGCTATTTAGATATGCTGCAGCCATGTCTTCTGGCATTTAAAACTTAACCCTGCCATCTGAAATCTCCCCTACTTAAGATTTCCACAGCTTCTGTTTCTCCTTCATGTAATATGTATTTGACATTGGCTCATTTAAAATACTTGTTTCCTGTTGAGTCTTTCTGCCTTTGTAGGCCTGCTTTCTCAGCTCTTTTCCCCTCAGTTTCCCTTCTGAAACATTTCCCTTTTGCACCCTTTAACTACTGTGGAAAGGCAGCATTTATTGTGCATGTTTTTTTGGCTATATACATTGGCTGGGTAATGTCAAGCCAAATAGAGCAGAACCAGGCCTGATCCTGTAGGTGTTAGTTTCTTCATCCTTTCTCTAAACAGGGCAGAATTTGTCCTTGAAGACATTGCAGATTTTCCCTGACACTACACTTTCTGTAAAGTGCTAAGTCCCACTTTCCTTGTCTAAGCAGAGAGTCCTAAATGTTTTCTGAAAATGAACTGTGGTCAGCTGTCAGAATTATTTTGCTATCCATCTTCATTCTAAAAATTTTAATTGAAAGTTTATTGAGTATTTGTATAAGACAGTATAATTACATACATTCATTTTACAGTCAGAATCCACAGCTTTGTTATGTGAATTCATGCTTTCTTTTTGGTTTCATTTTTTTGGTTAAACTAGCACTTGTTCTGACTGGTACCACACACAGCTTCCTTGAACTTTTATTTCTGGCAACATGATACACTTAGTATGTTAGATCTTTATTTTCTGATTTTATATACCTAACACTATATACAGCCTTAATGTCTACTCATTATAAAGACCCAAGACTAAAAAATTATGGGAAATCTGGACTGTCCTGTAATCATTCAAGACTGATACCAGTTTTGAAAAATGTTGTTTATATTTAGGTTGTGACATAATGCTTTTAGGAACATAATTTTAAACTCCCATTTTCTAAGAATATCACTTTACATTTCTGTACTGGTAGTTTTAGTTGCAGAAATCTGTATTCATTTTACAGAAAATACCAGTGCATTCTCAGTGCCATGACTATCTCCTCTTGAGAACTAATACATCTTGTACTCAAATACATGTTCTCAACCTTACTATCAGTGCTATAATGACTAAAGAATACTTCATTAAGCAGGGTCATGAACTTCAGACTATTCTGAAGTTTTCCAGGCTTTATGTTCCATAAGTTAAAAAACACAGTTTCCAAGTTTTAATGTGTAATCTATGGCCACTATTTTTGCCATCTTCCCATCCAGTTTTAACTTCTTAAATTCTGTGCAAATACTTGGCCATTTTGAGAAGTTTTGAAATTCTAAACTTCAGCTTAGGCATTTGCAAAATGCAAGAAATACAATTAACATATGTAAAATTATAGTGATACTCTTTCATGGGCGACACGATACACAGAAAATATTTCAAGATACCTTTGTTTTACAATTGAATGGTGCAGTTCTGAGG